AAATCCAGGGGATGTTCTTGCACGTGGCCTTTCAAATATGGTCGCCAAAAAGTGTCAATAAAATTTTTTCTTCACGGCGACGTTTTACAAGACGTTTCTTTGCGTGAAAATATTCCTACTCCTGAATGATCACAAGAGTCAAATTCCATGTGTAAATTTTAATTCCATTAAAGTATCGTGTAGTTTACAATTTAGTTGAAATGGAGTTTTCCTCATATAGATAGCTCTCTTAGTTTGGAGACTGAACATAACATTATTTTCTTCTTACATGCCATCAGTATGAAGCCTTCCAGAAGCCATGTATGAAGCAAGCAGCCATGTTGCTGAAATGAAAGCATGTGTTTTGTTATGCCATGTGTCCACGGTATGGCTGGCAGTTTAACCACTGAAAACATGGCGGCGTTAAATGTAGATTATAGTGCTTGGATTTTAACAGCAATCTTATCTTCATTTTTGATCTAAATTATTTTCTGTGGAAGTTAAAAACTTCAAAGAGACAAGGGATAAGCTTCTTGCTTGAAACCAAACACAAAGTTTTTCAATTTAAAGCGAAACTAATTCCTTGAATGCCGATTCAAGATGCTAAGAGGCTAGTCACCATTAGGTGACTAGCGTCAAAATTCTGATTGCCAACACTCAATTTTCAGTCACATTGGCGACCAGCTGATCGCAATTTCGGACCCTGGTCAGTGAGGTAATTAGAACTGTCAAGAAGCTACATTTTCTGTACTTTCTGCAAACAGTTCTAATTGATCTACATGTAATTAAACAGCTGGGCTCGGTGTCATAATAATACAGTTGAAACTCTAGTAGTGAGCACCTCTTGTAAGCAACTGCCTCTCCTCAGCGACCAGTTTTCCAAAATACCAAAAGTTTCCAAGTCGAATCACTATATTTGAAACCCCTTGTAAGCAACCACCTCTTGCAAGTGACCGCCACCACTTTTAGAGCTAAAAGTTTGAATTTTCGTTTGTTTTTAACCACCTGTAAGTCACCACTTGACAGATAATTGAGCAAAAATTGGATAATAAGGTGTCGTAACATTATCGTTACTATTCCTGGCTAGTACAAGATACGGAAATTTCTCTATTGGAAGAACTGATTTTTTCCTCGAAATTGACTTTTACACGATGCAATAAAACATTGCATTGGCATTGGTGCGTTGGGTAAGACTCCGCAGTTACCATATTTTAATGAGGAAAAATTTTGACCCATTACATTGTAAGTTCTCGTAAGCAACCACCTCCCATAAGTGACCACCTCCCATAAGCAACCATGTAGGGTTGACATTTTGGGTGGTCGCTTACGGGAGGTTTGACATGTTCATGGAATATTTCAAACTTTGTCCCTCAGAGCCAATACTTGGAGAGCTTAAAACATATTTTACAAAACTGAAATTTAGCCTAAAGAAATTATGAGCACGTGATAGAGGTGTCAAACTCTGCGAAGTGACAAGCAGATAACAGCAGAGAGTCAGGAAACCATGCCTGTGACCTCTAGCACAGCCAAATGGCTCCACTCTACTTAAAATTCCTCCTCATAACAGAGCATAAAGTACCCTTCAGAATCACTTGTGAAATAACGAAAGGTTGGGAGACCGAAAATTAAAAGAGAACAGCAGATGATAAATTCATAAAAAATTTTGAATGTCAAGGACTTGTGGGTGATGTGTTAATTCCAGTAAACTGTTGTGTGTTTTTTCTTTTCAACAGAGAGCCTTTCAGGCAGTTTTTTTGTACAGTCTAGCAATTTCTTTGATTATGTCTATTCTCATTGCCTATCTTCTATGTGGTTTATACATGTATGAATATATTTTTTCAGGAATCGCATGTCATTATCATCAACACAAGCTTTCTACCTTATCGTGAACAACAAGAGTTTAGCAAGCATGTCAATGACAATGGCTGAAGTTTACAAGGAGGAGAAAGATGAAGATGGATTTCTTTACATGGTTTATGCTTCTCAAGAAATGTTTGGCTCATGACAAGCACAGAAATAACTTACAGTAGATGCACTCAGAAAGTTATAAATTATGTTGCATTCCATCTGCAACATCTTATCGCACTCTAATTACTGGAACAACGTACCTCAATATAGACGTCATCTATACGTGGTGCTCGAGTACCTGAATCCTAATTGTGTGACTGAGTTTGGACAGTGCATAGTATACACATTTCTTTTTACTGTTAGACCCAATTATTTGAGGACACTGAATTTGCAACATATCTTGGGGAAAATGTTGATTAAATGATTTTTGCTATTACATTAGCCATTTTACTGAATGTCCTATAGTATGTAGTGCAGAGCTCTTTTCTTGTGTTGACAAAGCAGGGAAGGAACAAATGCAACCTGTGGGTATTTATGCTAAATTTATTTTGGCATCAGTGCTCAATTCTATTCAAGATTTTCAAAGAAATGACAAATGGAGTACCAAGCAACAGTTTCATTGTTTGCCTTACACAAATAACATTATAAAGTGATGAAAATTAGTTGTCTGAGGTACCCAGACAAAGCCACTGGTTATATATCCTTCATTCTAAAGCAGGTCATGTTTTTACATCTCCCCTGGTGTTGTTTTAACTGTTTTATCACCTAGGATTGAAGTAGTTATTCTCCCTATGGATTATCATATTGTCATTTTATTTGTTAGTGCTGAGAAGTTAGGAGTACATCTAGACAGTTAAATTATCCCTTAGCAGTACGTAGCTAGTTGATTATTTTTTTGTCAATTCTCATCACTTGTCTGCTTCACAGTGTACTAATGCAGTAATTACAGTGGAATCCTAATTTTTTAAAAACCACCCAAGAGAATGGGGATCAGTTCAAACAACTGAGTAGTTTTCTCCTACCTGTAATTATTTTGTAAAAGTTTGAAGTAAAGGTTTAAAAAATCAGGTTTCCACTGTAGAAATTGATGTCAATCAAATTTGGAGGAAAAAAAATCTGTTTGTAGACAGATGAAGGTACTAGCACCCTAGTATTTAATTTATTTTTATTTGCAGTGCAAAGTGCATATGAGCACTGAGTTAACAAGCAGTATATGTACATGTAGTGAGTGTGATTTGAGTTGCAGCATTATGCGAGCCAACCACGAGCCTAAGTCAACCTCGAGTCATGAGTCAACAGTGAGTCTATCACAAGTCAAGCTAGTTTTTTTTTCATTTTGTCCTGAAAAAAAAAATAGATTGTAGGAAAATAAAATATACAAATATGGATTGTCTTAGCAGTTAACTGACAGGGTATTTTACTAACAGGCTCACCTCGATCACAGCACTAAATGCCAATAAGAGGAAACCCTCTCGCACGCGCATGGCATGAATGTTAGCGCTCAACTTTTCTCTCAGTTAGTAGATAGTCAACAAGATTCATGTCACTCACTATTTGGATAAGACAGTCTTACCTTGATAATTTGCAATGGACACAGCAAATAACATGACTTGCCATCATGTTTGCAATAGTTTGGGGGGGGGGGGGCTGAGCACGAATAGACAATCTATATTCATGTATTTTATTTCCTACAGTCTATATTTTTTTCGGGACAAAATTAGAAAAAAAAATTTAAAAATTGGCTTGACTCCTGGTTGACTTGAGGTTGACTCGGGCTCGCGGTTGGCTCGTGTAACGCTACAACTCATGTAATTTATTTCCGAATGAGCAAAGATTTATTAGAGCTCAGTTAATCATTTGCTTTATCTTAAACAGCTTAAATCGAGTTATTTTAAGCCTTAAAAGCACAAAAGCACATGTGTTTAGTTTTAGATCTTAATTCTGTGTAAGTGGGAAAAGTTTTATATACCATAGTTTGGTGAGCTGATATTAAGGGAGGGGTTTGGCTTCTCTGATTTCAAATAATGTAACCTTATTGGAGACTAACTGGCCATAGAATTAAGGAAAATGATCTTATTGTCAGCCATAAATTAATTAGTCTTTTTATCTATAGTGGCATTACAGGTTTTTATTTTGATGAGATGATGTTGCAGTCCAGAGATCCATCGGTCAGCTCCTAGGAATTATAGTGTCTTTTTTTAGTTGCCCTTTGCATGTGGAAAATTTGCGCTACAGTTGTGAATTTTCTATACGCAATTAAGTAAGTAGTAATGGAAGAGACTGAGTGAATCTCTATGAGTGCTTCATCAACAGTGTGGGATGTTTTTCCCTATAATCTGATACATTAATTGAGGTAGCTGGCAGGCAGTGAAAGTGAAAGGATGGAAAGAAACAATGTACTTTCTCAGGTGACAGGTCATGTTGCTTTCAGGAAATGTGATAAGCAGCAAAATGTTCTGGACATTGTAGTACCAGTGAGAATTTTTTTTCAATTCTCCAATATGTTCGTTGTAGTAATAGTTAACTTATTATCATTGAATGGAATTGGACAGTTTTTATTTACACATAGAATTTCATGTAACAGGTGTATTGTTTTCATGAGGATATTCTTTTCAATTTTGCTGCTATAGAAATTTGGCCATAGTAAAATGTGCAATTTACATAAATATTTCAAAGCAAGGCTTGGTGGGAAAATTTTATCGTCTGATGGCATTATGCATTAGGGCTATTATATAATTTGTAGGGTAAACAGAAATCACCAATAGGCCCTTTGCACGGTACACATACTGGTGTGCAAGCTGAACAGTGGGACTTACAGAACAATGCAACTCGTACCAGGCCACCTGGACCTGCCTTTGTTTTGGAAGTCCCACTGCGTAACTTGCTCACCAGCATGTGTGATTTTGTACCATGTGACCGGATCGTGCAAGGGGCCTATAAGTGTTATCTTCTCATGTTGAATTTGACAATCGACCAAATCTGGCTAGCTTGATTTTTTGGGGGGTTTTAATTTAGCTGCAAATTATTTAGTTGCCCATTATTTTAATTTGTGCTTAAAATAAACTTGTTTTGAGTACCAGTTTCTTTATTATTTGATCGTGTTCATAACGTGAGTTATTATATGCACTTTCCTGCCATCATGTAAAGTGATGCAAAATTCCATCTCGAACATGCAAACTAAAGATTTACCATTCTAAATTTTATTGACCTACTGTGTATAGTGGCATAATGCAGCATACACTCTTCCTGGACTGAGGTAGAGTCTGCATTCAGGTTTAGTGACCCTTGAGTTAGGTGCTTAACTTCGGTTTCTGCGGTATGAAGAGACGAGGAATGTTCCCTCCCCCTTTGGACGGGACAGGGTTGTATGCTATCTCAGTGTTACCCCCGTGCGGACATGCATTTCTTTCAACTTGGTGCGGAGAGGCACTGTGAGAGAAAAGTGTCTTGCCCAAGAACCTGGGTTTGACTGTAGAATGGAGTTGTTCAAAGGATGGGTAAGACTACAGATCATAAATCATTATCCAGTGAATAGCGTAGTTTGCTTCATCAACACTTATCAACTAGATAGTGATTTATCTGCAAGTGTCCTTTGAAGAGGACTAACTAAGGGCTATCATACCTTCCTTTCCTGGACAGAATACAAACCTCGTCTTCATTACACAAGAAGCACTTTGCTCAGAGATTACCATTTTTATAATTGTGTATAATTTGGAAAGAAAATTTATATGCGACAGCAATTTTGGTGTCAAACTGAAAGTGCCGCAGGGGGAGGGGGTGGGGGGAGGGACTCCCATGTGAAAAAAACAGAAGTGCTTGTCATACCTTTCAGGGGTTAAAAACGCGGTTTGGTACCTTTTAGGGTGTTCATCTTAAAAAGGTTCACAGCGGGAACTTTTACGGTACCTTGTAGGGTATTGAACCGAAAAGATATGACACAAGATAATGTGCCGTTTTAGAAATGGTACCTCTTAGGAGTGAAAACAACTTCAAGCCTCATCCACAAAGCAGGATCTTGGTGCCTCTTAAGGGTTCTTTTAAAAATTTCCGACTAGCACCCCGTCCTTTTGTATTGGAGTCTCTGCCCCTCCCCCGCGCTGAAAATATTTTAATTCTATTTTTTCCAGTTCTTCTTTTTGTCCCATTGTTCATTCTCTTTCTTGTTCGCTCCAATCCCTCGCAATGCGTGACGCTGAATGGGAGTACAAGGGTCATTTGATTGTTTTCGTTGCTCAGCGAGAAATTATGTAAATATAGGACCATTGTTATCTTGTTGAAAACTCTTTTATTTCTCTCGGGGTTGGTGAGGTCGCTATGAAATGATTTTGGAACGTCGTGGAATGTCTAGATGTAAATGTGTGATGTATACAATTCTTGCAATCCTAATTGCACAAACATCTTCCGCTTTCGCGGGGAATTCGTTGAATTCACAGAGTCAAAATGCCATTAACCCGCGAAATTCAAGCACAGAGACTCCAACAGGAGGTAAGAGATTTTTGTATCTGTTTCCATACCTAAAGGATTTACAGACATTTGATGAAGACAAGACGTGTTAAACTAGTTTTTTGAGTGCATGCTTCAACAATTTTTTGTGTAGAATCTGCTCCGCATGTGGTTAAGTTTATTTGTTTCGCCTTCTTTTGTTTATGCTCTTAAGGTAATTAACGCATAGTTGAAAACCTCTCAAGCTGTCATGTATTTTCAATTTGTTATCCGATTGAAATTTCCGTCAGGTCAAAACTACTTGAAACCTTAAAGTTAAACGAAGTCAAACGATAGAACACTAGCTTCGAAATTTAAAGAAGAACTCCTAGAATCGAATAACCTAGTAAGCTTATTTTTTCTCTTTGCGGCATGCGCCCTTTATGTTTAACTTGACGTTAATTAACGGACCCTGCGTACTTAAGTGCTATGATCCGAAAATCTAAAGTGAACCATCGATACCCGTTAGAAAATGAAGAGGAAAAGAAAGGAAAAGAAAGTGGCCTGATGTTCTCCTGATCAAATAGTGTAAAATTAAGTTACAAGAATTAAAAGCATAGAAGTCTTCAAGCGTTTCAAGTAGAACGGATCTCAGCTTCGATTCTTTAACGATGGCTTCAATCATTAATGAAACATATCAGTTTTAAGCAAATAGAACATTGATTAGAAAATTTTATGTCATGCAACATTCCCCTATTTGTGTCTGACTTGTAAACCACTGTTTTTTCTTATAGTTTATGACTTGTTTTTTTTTTTTTACATAGGTGAAACATGTGAGCTCAGTAACACAAATTCATTTGCTAAGTCACCATGTAGAATGCCCTGTGAGAAGGATGATGATTGTATCAATCATGGACGGCACACGTGCTGTCCAACTCTGCCAGGTAGCAGCTGTATAGGAGAATGTTTAAGAGACAATCTTAAATCTAATGGAGCGACAAAAAGTAAGTGCAGTAATTGGTATAGAAATGGACATTCGCAGCCCCTTCCTCCCATCTCCCCCTACCTACTTCTGCTTACTTTCCCAGGTAGGACTGTTAGGTTTTCCCTATTGTTTCCTAGTACCAGGGTTATGTTCACATGAAAGTCATGTTTGCTGTAGCAGCTTGTTGTAATATGTGGTTATACTCTTAAATAAATATACTTTAAATCAGTCATGACCCTCAGTAAAAAAGTTGATGGGATCCTGTTGATGTTTTCTTGTTTGTCTTCTAGCATGTATAGATGTTCGCAGAAGAAAACGTTACATTGTGGGGGAAACATTCATTAGAGACAAGTGCTGTACATGCCTTGATGAAGGAATCAACTGTGTTTCAACAACTGTCAAGATCTGTTATCTAGGTTAGAATAAATCACAGAATTATAATGACATTTAATTGCCTAACTTGCAATTTGCATAAGCTGCACAATCCAGAACTGCATTCAGCCTTAAAAACAACTTAAGTACCTGAGTAGGAAATACCATTACTAAGACAAGCGTTACATGCAAGCCTTTGTAAGAAAGCAATAACAGTATTCTGTTCTGAAGCAAACACCCGCATATAAGTGGATTAAGAACATCATGCTGAAAGTTGGCCAATTAATAGCACCATATAATTGTATATAAGAGTATATTAGTAATAAGTATTTATTTATTTTTTATTTGAAATTAATTTTAGTGTAAGTAATAGAACCCTCTATTAATGTTAATAAACAATGTACAGTATTTCTGAAACAAATTTTAAGAACATTTTGAGAGCATATTTTCTCATGCTGATTTCTCACTAAGCACCCAATAAATAAGAACTTTCATCAGCCTGAACCCTGAAATCATAGCTTCATATATGTGGGTGTTAAATGTATTTCAGGTTGTTGGAAGAACTCAAAGTATTTTAGACATGGTGAATCAATATCATCAAGGTCCTGCTACAATTGGTGAGTGAGTATAGTGCCAATTAAATTCTTTGGTTGTATAAAGTTTAAAGGGAAAATAATCCATCAAATGATGAGTAAGCTTTCACTTAGCCTTTAGTAAGTTAATTAGGATTCAATTTCCTGTACAAAGTTGTACAGAGCTAATATTCAGCATAGGTGCTCAGAAAAATTGAGTTGTGCAGCAGGCATTGCAGTCATCATGGGGTCACTGGGCTAAAACTGTAGCTCTGTAGTAAATAGAGAACAAAATATAACAGCCAGCAACAAGATATATGAAAAGGGTTAAAGTAAGGGGTGGCAAATTATACTGGTCCTAGAAAATTACAGAACTCAGAAACATTTGATTCAGTCTAGAAATTGCCAAATCCCTTGTGATGAGTCACAAAATCTTGTTTTTAAAATTAAATTATTACTTTTCAACGCTCAAGTAAGAACTGCTCTGTTTGATTTTTAACAGCTCTTGTCACAATGGCTCAGTCACTTGCTCTTCTGATGTTAAATGTCTGCTAGGTAAGTAAAGAGTCCCATATCAACTGTTATCTCATGAAAAATTAATATTGTGCAGTCCAGGGAACATTCATACCTACCCTATGGAAGGTATCAGCTGAACTGTGGTGAACTGTTTTGTTTTGAAACATTTGTCATGCAAACAAGTTCTAGTCACATTTAATTGTGCCAATTGCCTTTTTAAAATTCAGAGTTGACATTTTTGTGGCTAAATCTGAGTTGTAAGTGCTTATGCTAGAAAATTGTTATTTAGACAAAGATAAATGCCTATTTAAATGACCAAACATGGATATTAAATACACACAAACCCGAAATTCAAACAGGGAAATGCAGTTATAGAGGGAAACTTTATGAAGAAGGAGCCTTATTTCACCTTCAGGGAGGATGCAAAGAATGGTAAGATTATGTCTAGTAACCCCATTACCCACTGATAAATTTCAGTACATAAAGGAATAAAGATCTGAACTTATATTGCATTGTGCCTATAATTATGTAGGCGACAAGATACAATAAACTTTCTGATGTTGTATTTAATTGGTTTTATTCTATACCATCCCCAGACTAAAACTACATAATTTCATAGGGTGCTGATTTTAAGTACTAAAAACCAGATAATTTTGGAAATATTCGACCTGATTTCGTTGAGAGCAATCTAAATGAGTACCTAATGATTTACTGGGCTTGGAGCTGTGCTTTGAAAACAAGTATTGCAATAAAAACTAGCTCCATTGAAAGTAATCTCCACTATTAATGATTGGTTTTGTTTCTAAATCTTTAGTGTTTGCCGCTCCGGCAGATGGAATTGTAATGCATTGACTTGCAATGCTGGTATGTGCAGACTTGTGGCAAATTGCATTTTTGATTAAGAGGCCTGTCTAAAGATGTTAAGAGGGAATCCACCAGAAGTTTGAGTAACTAATGGACAAAAACTTAGTACCAACATTATTTACATTGTATTGTAAACTTCTATGCGACTGTTTTAAATATCTTGAGTTCTCAAAAGAAATCATTTCTAACAACGAAAACAAATTTTGAAGTTTATATGAAACACTTGAAAGTACTGGTGAAATGACACTGATGATGAAATTTTACCTGAGTTTGCTCAATTTCTCTGAACTTTGAAATTTATTTCCTTGATTTGCCATAGGAAATTGTTTCTGGTGTTATTTCAGGCAACTATTTGTATCTTAAGCTTTTAGAAAATGCCAAAAAGGGCTGTAATATACTTACAATTATTCAGGTACAAGGATTTTGTCCACTAAAAGTTGGAATTGCCCAATTTCCTATCGGATTTCGTCTTGAGGCTTTTGAAATAGCATTTAAGTGACTGCATGCAAGGGTTGCATTAATTTTCTCAGACTCTCATAGCGTAGTCCAGTCCACTGCGAGAAAACATGTCAAAACCTTTAATAAAAGACAGTGTTTATTTACCCCCTGGGGACATCCATATGAAAAGGTCGGGAAAGCTCGTCGGAAATTTGAATGAAGCCCCTAAAAGAGACCAATCTGGGCGTGGCTCAAGCTTTATTCGACCCATAAAAGATACCACTGAAAACGGAACAGGCCTAATTACCAGCCCAGTTCAGGAAAGTAACCCGCACTATACCGGATTCAAGAGACCAGCGGAAATCGAGCCTGAAAAAGGAATTAAGAGCGTTTTTTGTTGTTGTTATTATTATTTTTTCGCGTGCACCCTAAACGATACTTTAACTGCCAAAATAGGGGCGTTTCGTGATAAGCACCCTAAGTACAWGTGAATATATGAAAGTTCATATATTTGAACTGCGGAGAATGATATGAAGATATGATTGATCATCGCAGTTATGCACACAACTTAAGCAGTTGTGAAATCAAAGCCTGAAAAAAATTCAGGCCTGAACGGGATTTGAACCCATGACCTCTGCGATACCGGTGCAGTGCTCTACCAACTGAGCTATCAAGCCAACTGGGAGCTAGCCACGTTGTGAGTCCGTAATATACCCGTAGAAGGTGAGGAACGTGGCCAGCTCCCAGTTGGCTTGATAGCTCAGCTGGTGGAGCACTGCACCGGTATCGCAGAGGTCATGGGTTCGAATCCCGTTCAGGCCTGAATTTTTTTCAGTCTTTAATTTCACAACTGCTTAAGTTGTGTGCACAACTGCGATGATCAATCATGGCTTCCGAACACCTTAAGTGAGACCAGATTGCTTGATTTATACACCAAAGCGAGGCGACGAGCATCCCTGACGTTTTCAGATGGGAGTCCCAGCCAGGATTCACCCGTCATCTCCTGGCATAAAATGGATTTTTTTTATGAATGTTTTAGTGCTATATGTCTGATTACAAAATTATTTTGAGTGAGGAATCAAACAGTGAGGTTGGAAATGTTACACAAAGTGACCTCTGTATGAAGCTCAACCCACAAGCTAACTGACCTAACCAGATTTTGTTTTATTGCAGCCAAGTCCAAGGCAGACATTCCGTCGCCTCATCATACAGCGCATTCACAAAATGGTTTTCTTTCTACTCTTTCGCTGTTCATGTACACACTTTTTATGTCTTTTTGCGGTTAGAGAGATTTGGTCTCTAAACGTGAGCCTATCTAGTCGAGGTATAACACTCTTGAATTAACTACCACGCTTTAGAAAACAAAACCAAAGAACATGAGCATGTGTGAAGTCAAGTTCTCTTTTTAATTCGTTTTCCCCATCTAATTTTCCTCCGACCTATTTTGAGATAGAATCTTAATTGAACGTTTTAAGAAGAATCAATTGTAATAAGTTATTTCGTGCTGATAGGAATGAATCTTGAAGTTTAACATATCTGAGTTATATATCTTCAGTTTTTGGTGATGAACCAATGGTATACGGTTATTGCCAAACAGTTATTTCAGTGTGCGTATTAACGTGTGTGAAGCGTAGCAAAGGATTAAAAGGGAATGAGAAAGAAAAAAGTTATACTCTTTCGAAACGAGTAGATTTTTGATTGCTTTTAACGTTAAGAGTGTTTTCAATTTTTTAGTACATAATCTTTTAGGAACGTTGACCCTGTTCTCTTGCGATAGGCGTGCCGGGTGTATTGTTCAGAGAGTCTGTTTATATATTTAATAACCTGTAAAATAAACGTATTAATATTCTAGAAAATGTTTGAATTAAACTTCGGTTTCTCGCGCGTAATTCATCAAGAGAATCGTGCATTCAACTAAATGTCTGAGCCCTACTTGCTCGTGATAACATTCTTAATCCATCTGTACCCCACCTCTACCCCACCCAAACACCCAACTGTCGTGTTAAAACTACATTTAAAGGAGGTTATTTTTTTATTGACATGGAAACAATTTATCCAGAGTTTGATTAAGTTAGAAAGAAATGTTTATAGTCATAAAGATTGGAAAAAACCTAGATTTTCGGAGTTGTCGGTCCTGTTTTTGCGTCTCAGGTTAGTTCACGAGACTGAAAAGATTTCATGTGACATTTGTCGTTCTGGCATACTTCTGCTTTCATACTGAAAGGCCAAACAAAAAACCCCAAGAAGACGGTCCACTTAGAACTGTTGACGCTGACTACGCGTTCTTTCCTTTTAGAACGATCTCTAGTGTGCGGGAGATGAAAATCGGAAAGACAACTACACTTTGGAAGGAAATCAATACAAAATATGTTTATAAATTAACTTTATTAAATCTATTTATCTATTTTTTCTCTTATACATAATCTTAATAATTGCACTCATACTTGGTGTCCAGTCACATATTGGTGGTTCATCTGAGCGACCTTTTATTTTTTTCTCTCTATTTTCGTATAATTGTTATCTTGCATTCCTTTGCAAGAAACTTCCTCTGTCATATGCAGCGTCTGTCCACCAGTGCCAACTCGATCTCTGCTTGCCCGCAGTCACAAAAACTTATTATCAGCTTAATTAGATAAAGAACAATGATGATCGAACACTTCATTCGAAGATAGCAGACATTGTTTTTATCATTACGCACTGAACGTCGACGAATTTTCTTCTGATACAAAATATACGGAGCTTTACACGGACGTCCGTTATACAGACACTCGTCTATACTCAGTGAGGCAAATAGCTCCGCGAAGATCGAGGATTTACTGAGGATTTCAGTCGAATTTGAAAAACTTATTAAGCTACCCTACGAGACAGGTCCTCTTCTATGATCATAGCTGGGCTAATCTCTGCGGTAAACTTCACAGTGTTATTTAAAGTCGATGACTTTCTCGCATTCAATTCAAACCAGCACGTGGTACGTTCCCTTGAATCATCTCTTCTTTGCTGATTCGCTGTACTGACCACGCATCTCCAAAATCGCTTTTAGCAGTTTGGCGTAATCATAGCTGCATTGTTTGTCTATTGCGTCATGAAGCTGTCTTGAGAACAAACTTAGAAATTCTTTCTTGATGTAGTAAAGATCAATCTGCAAAGAAAGGAAATAGTAATAATCAGAGGTTTTTCGTCCGAGATTTTAGTAGCTCAGTTTGATGTTATGGCTCCTGGTATCATGCGATCTAACGAAAGGAAAGACGTACAGAATTATTTAAATCCCACAATGGCAAGGGGCGATTGACAGGGAGCTAATTGTTGAAAACAGGAAACTTCGTTTTCACTAATTCCAAATTGGGTCAAAGATCCATGTTCATCCTTTTTGATTAGCACCAAGAGGATCGCGCGGTCCCCAGTCCCTGGGCACGAGGATAGTCAGGGGCATATCACATATATTATAGTAAGTGAGGAGGCAGCGTGGCCGAGTGGTTAGGGCGCCGGATTTGAAATCCGTAGGTCCCGGGTTCAAATCCCGTTCTGACCGCTAGCTGATGTCGTTCTCGGTAGCCCCGAGTTCAACTTCTCGACTACGCTTGTAAATAGCCAACTGGTCTGCCTCCCGCCAGTTGGGATTCTTAACTTAGTTATGTTTATTTGAATATTTATTTATCATTGTTTGTTAACATTGGTCCTGAAAAGCCCCGATGGGGAGTGGCCAATTACGTATACATACGTACATACAGGTATTAAGTCAAGAGAATAAAATTCTCTTGCCTACGTGTAGTCGTACGGCTACACGAAGGCACATACTAAGGTCAGTTCGGTTGTTGCTATTCAACATTTTTTAAACGATTGCTGGAACCTACCTCTGATCTGGAAACCATTATTCTCAGTATCTTTAGTTCATCTGCCTTCGCCATTTCCTTCGCAAAGTATCGAGGAGGGGTTTCTATTACCAAAACTGCAATGGTAAAACCATTCTATAATTAAATGCTCATAATAAAGAGTGAAATAAAATTGGATGAATAACTCCATCCTGTCTGTAAATGTCTGTTAACAATTGACAGCCTTTATCATTATTAAATTCCATCTTTTACATAATTAAAACTAACGCTCTCCCTATATCAATTCTAGAAATTTCATGCTCTGAAACGCGCAGCATTCTGTTGTTGGTAGGATAATCTTAACCGGCCCCATGTTGATTGTTAGTGAGCATTGTTCGGGTACGATCCCGAGGACTTGTCACTTACCGCAATCTTTCAAGGTGTCTCGTGCTTGTTGTGATAACGATGAACATCTGTCTTCAATAAACTGAGCAATGTTGACTCGGTGCAGATCAAGAAAAGCAGCAAATGTTTCTCTTAATTGATTTCTTCCAAGTGGTTGACATAACAGGGACAGAATATCGCCATCGTTGAACAGTTGTGTTGCTCTTTCTTTTGCTGCCATTTTATCAGCTCTTTTCTTGGCAGATGACCGATCCACATTTAGCAGAGAAACCAAAATGCGTCTGACATCCTCGTCCTCTACTTTGGATAATTCATTTTCCAGTGTCTTGCCATACTCTGTAAATATGAATTCCAAAAACATGTAACTATATATAGAGAAACAAGAGTAGTCTGTTCCCGGCTTCTTTATGCCATTCCCTAGCTACAATACAATATATTTTCATAATTCTCCCAAATGGGTTTTTCAGAATTAATTTACATCGAGTAAAAAGGAAATAGAATAAATTCAAAATGTCTAACTACATTCCTGTTAAAAGGCACGTAATGGATGACTGACCGAATGCAGGACGAATGTATTGGATTAACTGTCTTATGCTTTATCCTGTCTTGATGGAGATAATTTCATATTCCCTATGGTCTCTCCACGGACGTTTATTCTTTTGCTTCAAGTTGACGTGGGTCACGTGGACAGACTATATTCCCTAGCAACCACGGATTACTTGTAAATTGTTACCAAACACCGCTACCCAGAGTTGTTTATGACAAAGAAAACCTTTTCAATCATTTTACGAGAATTGAAATGCGTGGCTGTGCAGTCGATACATTATATAATCTCTCTTGGAATAATTCTACCAATATTTTTGACCTATTTTATCTCCAGGTAAGTTCAGGTCAGAAGAAAAGACGAACTGGGATATCGGGAAAAATCCTCGGGAGGGGTGTCCCATATAAAAAGGACCGGGGTGTTCGTCGCACCTTTTTGGGGTTAAAAAAAACGGGTTTGGTTCTTAGGGTGTTCAGTACTCAGTAAAGACAGAACAGGGCGAATAAAGGCAAAACAAGCAATAACGCCGTTTGAAACCGCCGTTTTCTACGTTTCTGGATGGATTTTGTATTAATTAACAATTATTCACCGAGGTGGAGGTGAATAGGGGTGGATATTTACCGAGCCGGGAAGCGGCGAGGTAAATATCCATCACTTTCACCGACACTGAGGTGAGTAATCGTTTTAGTATATACCACACAAGCGGAATAATTAGCGGACCAAACCGTTATTTTATGTGTGACAAGCGGTCAGAAATTTTCACATCTCTCGCGCCGGCTGTTCGGAGGTGAACAGTACTTGCTAATCGAGTTAACCAATCAGAGCGCGCGAAAAGCGCTATTCACTTGTGTGGTATATACTAATTCCTGTTATTTCTTGACTTTTAAGAAAAAAGTGAAATCCAAGATGGCGGATCCAGGATGTCGGTCAGATGAAGTCATTAACAAAAATGGTAGAGGGCTATCTAATCTATGTAAATTTATTTCTTTGTGCCTTAACAGAACGAAAAACCAGAGAAGGGGTACCGTGTACTATGGTAGGGGTATGAATTGGGTTAATTCGCTCTTAAAGACGGTTTCAATTAGCTCTCTGTACGACATTGTAAGCTGCTGAACTATCTGAACTGGAACTTGGGAAGTGCTCAGATCGGCGACGAGGACGCCATTCTGAGATCCAGCTCACTACCGAGCCGTATGTGCGAGGCCTAAGACCAAGAAACATCACACCGACTTAGGCGGCCCGGAGACAACAGTAACAGAAGGTTTAGAAACAGAACAAGTAATTAAAAAGACGTATATTCAAAACGAAATTACGCCATTTCGTGAAGGCCAGAAAAGCCAGATTATGCTAGCAGTACTAAATTTAGATAAAAGCTAAAAATTATGCTCGGTTTGCTAAATTATTCCAAAAATTATGCTAGCACAATCGACAAAAGCCTAGTGGAAATATAGGCAGTGTTTTTTGCTATCAATAGACCTGTGCATTGTTTCACTTACCAGCGAAATACTCGTCTTTCATATCCATCAAGCTGTCATTTCTACTTGATATAATGATAGACACAATCGAGTTGAAATTCTGGTCTTCAAACGCCTTATGTAATGACTTGACGTCATATGTGACTGGTGAATACAGCAAAACTGTTACCACTTCTTTGGCCGTTCCACTAAACTCTGACTCCATTACAGTGGTTAAATCCTGTCAAAAGAAAAAAAAATAAAAGCCTTTCTTTCTTTTCACTGCCTGCCTTCCGTTCCTTTCAAGCTGCCTGCTTTTGTTCTAACAGTTTATCATACCTCATGGAATCGCTCTGTATACGCCTGTAGCAATCTTTTTCTCTGCCTGTTGGTGAATTTGGCCAGAATTCTGACAATGCAGACCCCATCAGAGCCCTGTCCTCGCACGGCATCATGCAGGTGATCAGCTTCCTTGTCCCAGTTAGGAGGATGCAATCTGTTGGAGTCCAGGCCGCCCTGCATTCCGTTTAGAAGAACAGCATTGTTTCAATACACCGTAAAGGAATTGATGCATAAAGTTAAACGGCTGCATTGATTAGTGCTTTAAAAATCTAACACTTAGCCTTCGCAGGTTTAGATGTGATGCTCTTTTTGCCTTTTTTAAAAAGCAAATCTTAAAGGATTTTAAAAGGCAGATCTGAAACGTTTTTCTGAACTGAACCAGTTTCCCCCAAGATCGACTGAGCAAGGACTCAAATGTTATTGTCAAATGTTCTTGTCAACTTCCAGGTTAATAGCTTCGTATTAATAGAGAACACTAGTCTATCTTCAATAAGGATAAATTAGATAGATATAATTATAATAATGCTATAAGCAAGATGAAAATAAAGACAATACAGTCTATATAACAATAACGGTATACTGTTTAAAACATGTAACAAAGGCGAAAGACATCATTGCATTGTCGACTGCTTGCTCTTCAGTAAAGCATTGCTTTAGGTTTATAATTGTGATATTATAACTGATTGTGTGATTCCACATGGTCAGTTTCTACTCCATCTTATTCAGTCGTTTATCTGTGATTTCACTCTTATGTCAACGTATCAGCTGAAGACACAATTTCAATTGATCTGCATATAGCTTAACGTCTTGCTAAGTAGTGCAAATCGAAATTTTAGGATCATTTGATCGTTACAAACGAAATACCTCGTCGAACTTCTGAAACTGACATGGAGATTTACTTTAGGGAGGGGGTGAGTAATTAAGCATCTGTGAGAAAACAGATCTCGTGTTTTTAGCTACAAATTTCAGCATAAATGATGAAACGACCAATGGCCACCGAAAGTAAAGCAGGCATTCTGTTACGCTGCTCACTTGTAAACCAGAACTGACAAGTCCGATGTCACTGGTGATGCAAATACAGATAAAGACGCGAGGTTGAGCTTTAGTTTTTGTAGACATTATTACGCTCACGCCACGTTATCAAAAACATTATACAAGTTATTCACGCCCCCAAAGTTGAGACGAGGATCGTTGCACTCATATATGCAATTCTGATACGACTCATATCAACACTGAGTAATTTGTGGTCGGTAATTTCAAGAATGTTCTGTGTGATGTGGAAAAGTAAAGATGACTTACTTGTACCTTGCATAAGTCTTTTGTAGACACTGTACAGCCCATTGCTGCTGTGGTTCACTGTATAACAGACTTAGAACAACCAGAATACAAGGAACAGAAATGGTTCCATTTCAGTGACTTCTCGTGACGAAAAACGTTCCGCATACATAATGTAAATCAGCATATATATAGAGTGACTTGCTTGCGTCAGTGTGGTATACTTAGTGTCGTTCAGTGTCACTGGTGCAGTTCTTGATGTAAACTCATTTCCTTTCGCGCTTCAAAATGCAAAGTTTCCACAATTTCTTATTATAATTTAACGGTTTCAATACTGCCATTTTCCTGAACTGTTGTGCTAAAGATTTGAAGGAATATTGATTTTGAACTGCTTTTGTCGTTTCTAGATTTAGATATCCACCTGCTGATCAGTCTTTTAAAGGGTAAATATTTCCGGCCAACATGACGTCAACCTTCAAAGGGTGAATAATGGTTTTATGGTTTCAGGTAAACAAACTTAATTAATCAAGCGACAGTTTCTCCGCCTGACGAACAAAAGCCCCAACCCAATTACCGACAGAGCTTTATTTGGGAGCGGCCTATTATGCTCGCTGGTTTTTCCGCCACAACCTAAGTTCGTTCCATTACCAACTGTTCTAAAAATAAAATCACTCGTGGAACCAGCCAGGCTAGAGTGAGTTCCCAGATTCTCTTTCAACGAAATATCTGCAGTATGTGGACAAGGAAGTCAGATTTCGGAATACGATGTAGCCACAGGTAGTTTGGTTCCAAGATTTCAAAAGTCAGTTCAGTAACAAGCAGTAACATACAGGCGTCAGAAAGATGTGTCCGTACATCTGCATTTTGTGGGATGTAGGCACCTCACTGAATATCTGATCTAGAAACACAAGCAGCAATGCCTAGTACCGTTCACAAGCTCATTATACCAGCTCACTTTTCCACAAACTTTTTACTAGATTTCCTCAGTCTCCACCAGTCGGATTAATGTAAGATTGACATCAGTTATCGTTGAACGTTGCTATAAAGTACTATATTTGAAATCGAAATTATTATGACCGCGATAAGCAGAAAACTTTGAAATCAGGAAAACTTAATTTACTTTTAACTTAGTTCATCTAGAAAATCCAGCAAAGACATCTTTTGGCAAACAGATATACAAAATGTTGTAGGTTTTCAGCCCCGGCGAGATGGATCAAATCTAGAAAACATTGAAGCCTTTATGGACCGAGTGAGAACTGCTTTGATGAACTGAATTACTTTGAAAGAATGTAAAAATATGCTAGAACTTATCTTTCGACGCCGAGAAAGTTTTGTCTCTCGCAGACAGTGAGTTTTATTCGTGAAATCTGACTCACATTATGTTTTACTGGGGAATATTTGAGTGAATAACAGACTTCGATACATAAGCAATAACTACCGAGAATTTACTCTGCTCCGTCTGAAGAAAATGTACTGAAAAAATTATTTCTAAATATCAATCTATTAAAATAATGATAACTAAAATTAAAATAATAATACCAAATAATAAATATAACTCATTAAGGTGGCCGAACACAATTTTCGCGCGCGCTTTTGCTGATGCAATTCAGCGCGCACACAAAGATTGGGAAAACAAATATGCCGTCAATAGAGCGATCCAGCGATCATTTTATTTACTCAACACCCGCACTATCTGTGCTATTTTTCTCTATATTTGAACGCAGTGTATTGATGGCTTTAGTCTTTTGTTACAAAGATATATTAGAAAAGGTAACGATGCAAAGAACCCAGTAATTCTCAGCTTTTTCTTTGTTACCGAAAGAACCCAGTTAAATGC